GATTGATTGATTGATTGATTGATTGATTGATTGATTGATTGATTGATTGATTGATTGATTGATTGATTGATTGTTTGATCCATGTTTTCGTGTTGCAGTTTTTCACCAGCAGTTCAAAGTTGAAATTTGTGTTGTTTTACATCTAAGACTTAGAAACTAGGATAGAAAATGTGACGCCTCTCCAGGATGAAAATTTAAGATAATAAAAAGTCTATTTTTTTTAACATGGTTACTGTCTTGCTTTTTAACATTTTTTAAACTACACAACATGTCCTTATATAGTCTGTTATGCTCCTTTGAACTCTTTAGCTTGTGAAACCACAAAGAAAGCTCATAAACTGGAGACCCACCAGAACCGCACACGGTAAAAAGCTCAGGCTGGATCCAAACGACCGTTCCTAGAACTACAGGAGGGATCAAACTCTGATCATTCATTTTTAGCTACAGAAAAAGCAGCAGGCCACCAAATAAACAAAAGTAAACTGACCAATAAGATTTATGCACTCACACAAAGATATGCGCTACGTACAAGATGTTTGACACAAAAAATATTTTTTCTCTACAGCTTTGTTAATAGTAAAGAGGATTAAGTAATAATAAAAGTAAAACCTCATGGTGCGCCCAGTGCATGAAGCTGCAGGCGCTGCTGCATCTGCATGTAATTCTGAACTTTAACTCCAGAAAAAAATACTACCTTTTATAAATAAAGACATTGATTTTAAACATTTTCTAATGTATTTTTATTTAAATTGTACAAATAAACAAATATTACTTCAATGTAAGACCAGGAACCTGGTCTGCACCGTGATGGTGACTCCTGCCTGACACCTGCAGATGATGGTATCTTACCTGCAGCACCTGCCTCATGGTCAGACGTCGCAGGCAGGCCAGGTCTGTGCAGCCCGTCTTCTTCAGGAACACCAGGTTGTCCGATTCGGCTTTTTCCAGCGTCGCGTTCAGAACGTACGAGCCGCTCATATCCACGGCGGCGTGAAACAGACCTTTGGCCAGCGGCGACATCATCAAGGTCCACACCGAAGTCCCGCCTCCATCAGTCAGAGGAAACAAGAGGCTGCAGTTCATCTTCATGAAACATTTCTGCTCCGCTTCCACTCTAAAAGTTAGACTTTGAATAGATGAGAACTCAACATTTTGTCCCTTTTATTATGGTAAACCAGATATTAGCCTTATTGCCTAAAGTTTGCTTCTCTACGCATTCAACAGTGACAGTGATAGCTCTTTAGTCCCGCGCCATCACTGTCACATGAAAAATTAAATACCACGATGATGTTTTAAAGACATTTGTATGGAAAAGGAAAGTATTTTCCATACAAAGCTGTCAGTCACGATTCCACGTCTCCTGAGGCCAGTTTCAAAAATTTCTTTTTTCAGTCTGAAAAATAAATTTTTAAACAAAAAAAAAAAAAGGAGATTGGCAAATAATTTTTTAGTTTTGAAAAAACTAGACTAGAAATAGTCAAGGGCCACAAAGTCTAAAAATAAACTTTGTGGCTCTAATTTAGCCCCTTTTTTTTTTTGAACAAACCAAATGATCACAATTTACCTTCATAATTTGTTTAACTTTATGTCCCCAATTTAACTCTATAATTTTTCTAAGCGAACTTTATGGCCCCAATTTAGCTCCATATTGTTTTTGATAAAAACGGTATGACTGCAATTTAGCTCTCTAATTTAAAAAAAAAGGCTCCAATTCTCCTCCATAATTTTTTTTAAACAAACTTAATTGGTCCAATATTTGTCCATTTTCTTGGCCCCATTTTAGCTCCATAAAATGCACACCAGCATGATGGGGCTGTAAAGTTCATGACGGGAAATGGTGTGTTTTTGTGACAGGCTGCAATAAAACGTCGGGTTAATATTTTATTTTTATTTTTTTGTTCTGCTTCAAAGCAACCCGGTTCATCTCCTGAGTTTAGGGCCTTTGACTGAATAAATGGGTCAAAGGTCATGCTTTAGGAGGCATGCTGTACACATGGCCAGGCATTGGGCAGAAACACCATCAGGAACCCTGCAGAACCACTGATCCAATCCACTTTCAGGTTCAGAACCAGAACCTGTCAACCTGATTATCCTTAAGCTAAATCAAACTATTACCCAGTTAGAAAGGATGTAACCCACTGCCTCCGATCTTCTCCCACATCTCTAAATTCTCCATTCTTATTTGGGTCAGGACTCATTTAGCAGTCGCACGTCCTCTGAATTCACCACCAACACGTTTTCCTTCCACCTCATGATGAAACTGGAGCTGATCTCCCAGCCCGACCCGGTGACCCGTCCTGCTTCCATACCTGAGCTCTGCCCAAATATCGTGACTCGTCCAGGATCTCCTCCAAACCCACGGATGTTCCTCTGGACCCACTTCAGCGCCGCGATCTGGTCCAGGAAGCCGTAGTTCCCTGTGGAGGATTGGAAAGGCATCGATTACTTTGAGGGACCCGATTTCTCTCCACTGGCCCATTTTCAGCGTCAGAAACGAAACCAGATCAGCGGATGAGCTAAATTCACCGCTGAGCAGCCGAGGGAGAGCAGAACTGGGCCGGGAATCAGGAGGAACCAGAATTAGAAACGAGCTGATGGAGGAGGAAAACGGCTCCAGTGGTTCACCGCCTCCTCCTCATCATCATCATCATCATCATTTACCTTTCACTCCACATCAAGGTCAGCGCTGTTCTGGGTTATGTAACTGAAGTTTCCCGGCCGGACTCGGCAACATTAACCCGGAAATGAGCTCCATTTATCCACATCGCATTAACCTTCATTAGGTATTCAAATGTTAATGGAGGCGTGTTTCCAGGCTGCACAACGTAAACAACATAAATATTAAAAGAGGAAAGAGCTGGTGATAAAAAGGCCATTAGAAGCTCCTTAACACAGCAGAGTGCTGCAGTGGAAACCAGGCAGTGAACCGTTACTTCCTCAACTTCACTGAGCTTGCAAAGAAAATCAAACATTTATTTTTGTTCTGGTGCCTTTATTTGCCCAGAAATGATGCTGGGATTCCAGCTCTGACTGCACAGTGAACCAGAAAACATCATTTAGTTACGCTAAGCATCCCGTTGCTACTCCATCTCAATGACGCACAAAGACCAAAACATGATACAGGATGTCATATTCAACTCCAAATGACGGGTTTCAGTCGCTGCCAGAGGTGGATTCACTATCGCTGATCCGCTAATATGTTAATAATGGAGCTAATTATTCACCATCACTTAAAATAAACTGTTTGGAGCAACAGATCTTTGGAAATGTATCAGGTTGACAAAGGAACAGGGAATAAAGTCTGGAAATGGAAACAATTGTTTATATATTAAAATCTGAGCAAGGCTGAAATTAAATCCAGTTTTACATACATTTTGAGACTGTAAAGGCAAATTAAAGGCAATACAGCATTAGTGTTAATGTGCTGCATTTTTATGTAGCACATAAAACGTTAGCGGAAGTAGCCTTTATCCTGAGTGAAGCTAACTTTTTAGCCGCTGGTACAGATTTTAGACCGATTCTGATTTCTCCTTAAGGTTTCTCAGGAAACTTCACAAACTTCTGGATCAAACTGCAGCAATTTTAACAGCTTAATATTTAGAAAGAAAAAATAAAAAACTATTTCTCCTTTCCTTTTTTCCCTGTACTGTAAATACTTACAATACTAATTTATTTTAGGAGCATGAAGGTGAGAGAGAAGTCACTGTTCTCAAAACAACCACCGTCGACATTTTAAACCGTTTTTAGTGGAGTTGAGGATCGGCTGACCAACCTGACGTGTTTCTTGGAGAACCTTCTCTCAACACCTGCAGAGCCAGGAAGCCGAAAGCGTTGAGTCTGTAGTTGAAGCTGACGTAAACCAGCTGAGTGTCGGCGGCCAGCTTCTCTGTGGGCGAGTATCCGGGCTCGCCGCCGCTGAACATCTGCAGGGATCCTCCGTGGATCCAGACCATGACGGGCAGCGCGGCGTCCGGCCGCAGCGTGGGCGTCCACACGTTGACGAACAGGCAGTCCTCCTGGCCGATCACCTTCCCCGCGCTCGACATCGGCTGCACCTGAGAGCAAACGCTGCGGAAGCGCGTGGCGTCCGTCACGCCCGGCTTACACGGCGGGTCGGACGGAGGAGCCCAGCGCCGCTCGCCGACCGGCGGAGCGGCGAAGGGAATGCCCTTAAAGGAGTAGGCGCCATTTTCCTGCAAAACACAAATAGAAATATGTAGAAATTTACCGCCGCTTTAATACCGTACTGCTGCTAACTTTATTTATGGAGATCTTTAAATGACCCAGGAGAGGTTCTGATTTTTCATTTTTTATTTCCAGATTTCATGTCTTTGTTTATCTGATCTGAGAAGACACTGAGCTAAGGTCGATCTTCTGTTGATCCAATGCTGCCAGTAGACCAGGAGCTGCTGTCCAGTAGCCGTTTCACACATCCATCTAACCTAAATGGTGTTTGGTTGTCTTTCCCATTTTGAACAGCCTAATATTTATACAACATGGAAACAGGAAGTCACTAAAAGGTTTATTTTTTTGTCACACCTGGTATTTCCTGTCAGTATTTTCACTACAGATTCATCAAATTTCATTTATAAAATGGGAATAAATTAAAAAATCATTTTGAAGACACATTTTGTTGTATATATAGAAGCAAATACTACCAGTATCACCTTTAGTATTTTCTGCTAAGGAGCCTAAATTTCAGCTCTAAAGTCTGAAAAAGGGAAATGAAACAGAGACTGGAGATAAAAATAAGAAACTTAAATATTTGCGCTGACAGCAGCAGCAAACGTTTCCTGTTTTTATTCACTTAGATCAGACTTTCTTTCCGCAGATCTTCATGTTTATATTATAAATTACATTTTACTTCATCTTGGAGTTTCTCACATGAAATATTTCTTGACCTTTCAGCCTGTTGAGTCTGAACTCACGTGTTTTCCTCTGAACTCGCCGCAGTCCGTCAACACCTGGGCGAGTCCCGGCGGCAGCGTCTGCGCCACGTAGCCCAGGTAGGCGGCGAGCGCCAGCAGGGCGGCCACGCCGAGGCAGATCAGGAAGATGCAGCGTTTGGACAGAACCAGGAAGGGGCTGATGTAGTGCCGGTGCCGGACGTACTGCACCTCCTCCTCCTCGTCCTCCTGCACCAGGTAGCGGTACTCGTTCCTCTGCGGGACCTCGAATGCATCGTCCTCATCCATCTTCGCTCTGGAGGAGAAAAGAACAAAAACAGCTCTGACTGAGGTTTCCATCAAAAGAACCTGAAAATTAGGGGTTAAACATGGAAAAGAATCAGGATTTATCAAGAGTTAGTTTTCAAAATAAGGTAACAGTGAGTAATGACCAGAGAGCCGAACACAAAATAAGAGTAAAAAATTTACATCAAAACACAATAAAATACTAAAAATAAAACCTAAGTATCAGTAAAGACAGTACAGAAGAGAACAAGGCCACTGAACAAAAATAATAATAATTCTGATGGTTTCTTCTCATAATTCTGACTTTAATCTTCTGAGATTAACAGTCAAAATTCTGTGAAAAAAAATCTAAATTCTGAGATTAAAGTCAGGATTCTGGCCACCAACTTAAACAAATGTGATTTAAATCATTAAACTGCATAGAGTGACTACATTTAATCAGATTTTCAAATTCACTGATATTTGATGCTCTTATGGAACAAACAGTGGAAAATAACAGAAATAACAGATAATACTGTTACCCTGACAGATTTTGGTCAATTTTGTTTCAAATTCTTGGATTTTTTTTAAATTAACCTTTAAATGCGGTTAAAGTCAGATTTTAACGCATATATTCAAAATTTAACCCCCCAAAAAAGCAGATTTGCAACCTGCAAAACCAAATACATGCTTTTATATAGAGATGTAATTTACAATTTTGCTATTTTTTTATTAATATTATTTATTAAATTTTTACAAGACAATGAAACAAAAAAGTACCAGTCATGTTGTTAGATATGTTTTCTTCTCATTAGATTGGAAACTCTGTTCTTTTTAAATATATATTATGATATATCATCCACTTTTTGTGTCTTCCTGTCTCTCAAAACCTAAAAGTACAAATAAAATAAATAAAATTGTGTTTCTGTACAAATGGCAACAAATTTCCTACTGTTTATATAATATCAGACGTTGACTTTTTCCAAAATGTCATGTAACATTTGCGGCTCTAAACAAGTTTTATTTGGCTGAACTGTCAAAAGTTTGTTTTTATTCTAAGTGTTGCAGATCTCTGGAAAACCCGTCCAGGAAAACAACACAATGCGTGGAAACAAGCAGCGGACATGCTGGGAGGAGAAAACATGTCGAGACACAATACGGCCAGTTAAACCAGTAAAACTCCTATAACACTCCGTGTTTACGGAAACAAAAGCTGCAAACGTGCATTCATTCTCATCCCAATATGAATTTTTAAGTTCGGGGGACGAAAACTGACAGAGCAGAAAACGGTCCTGTAAACATTTAGAAATAAATACATTTATCGCGTTTAAACCGGTTTCCTGCCGCTCCCACAAGCTCACATTCACCTCAACACTCTGGATAAAATGAAAAACACGAAAAGAAAAGTTTAATGGCTCACCATGTCCTAAAACTTCCCAAATCTTTAGAAAGTTTAGCTGTCAAAATCTGAAGTTGACGCAGTTTTGAACAGGCCGAGTGCGCATGCGCAGTAGTTTTCCCTAATGAGGACATTTAAAGGGACACTACACCCAAAGAGGACTGTCGGAATGAGGGACAGCGATGAGTAAATAAAACAAACACATTTCGATTGAAAAGTGATAGAAAATTTAAAAAACATGATGTTAAAGGCAATTTGGACATTCTAACATGAAACTATTTAAAGAAACAGCTCAGGATTTTTGAAAGGAGGTTCTGTTGAACGATTACAAGCAGTTAATATCTTACCTGCAGCAGATAACACCTTTAACTTCCTCATTTGAACATAAATCAGTACTTCCACCTGCACCAGCAGTGATTTCAAGTCACAGTATTTCATTCCAAAGGTATTTTATTAATCCTTGAAACGTTGCAGCGTTTAAATTGGTCACTTTTTTACAAAGATGGAAATGATTTAAATGTTAAAATGGAGACATGATGAATTACAAATGAGCTTCCTGTGTGAGGCCTTAAATAAAAAAGGAACATGTAGATGTTTACTGCCAAAGTAATAATTGACAGAAAGTAAGGCTGTATAAAAAAATAAAACATTTTAGTCTGCTGCCTAAATATCTGTTATACAAATGGCGCTTATTAGTGACTGAATAACATTGTGAAAATATGAGTTTGAAAAATGAATCCCCATTATTTTCTCTTTTATAACTGTTAAGTTTTAATGACGTAACTTTGCAAACGATTCCCTGTACTTATTAGAATCAGGAAACCTTAGATTTGGAGAAGCCCTAGAACTAAAGTCCATAGAATGGTCAAACCTGCACTGAATTATCATATTACAGATTCCCTCTGACATGGTTTTGATTTGCAAAACCTTTTGATTCATTTGTGAAGTTCAAGAAAATGTCTCCCCCCTGCAGAAGGAGCTGCTTTGAGAGAAATCTTCATCACATCATCAGCTTTGTGTTTCCAGATCTTCAGCCTCGTATCGGTGCTCAGTCGGGTCGCAGCATCTCCACTGAGCCAGTGGACGGAGGCGGCATGTAACCGCAGAGTTAACACAAACCACATTATAGTAAAATCCATCCAGATCAATGGTGAGTCGTCCTGCTCAAGCGCCTCAGTGGCGCTTTGATTGCAGGAACTGATGCTGTTTTTTGCCTGCTCAGCTGCTCCAGCGTCGATGCACAGCGAACCAAACACACCTTCATCCTGGAGGTGGATGAGGGTGTAGACTAGAGGGGTTGGTAGTTAAAAACCAGGGGAGAGCAGAGGCCTGGCAATGAACACTATAAAAACTATTACACTGATAAAATGAAAAACTAAAACATAAATAAAACAACATATTCCAGGCATTTTGGTACCATGGTGTATTAGGACCATTATAGATAGAAAAACATTTCTGAGCTCCAAAAGTTGAAATTTGGCTGGAAAAAAACTCAAAATTCTTGAGAACAATATCAATAATGAGAAATTGTCTTGTTTTTCTAGAACTTTTGACAATTTCAAAATTTCAGGGGTTTTTTGGCTAATTTTTAATTTTTCAAACTCAAAAATTTTCTTGTTTTTTCTGGAATATATCTGAGATTAATCTCAACATTTTTGAGTATTTTTCTAGCAAATTTTAAGCTTTTCAAACTTTCCTTGTGTTTTCATTTTTTGTCTCTTCCTTTGTTTTCCTACCATGGACCTAATAAGCCGTCAGAAGCCCCAGCTGGAATTCAATGATTTTTTCTGTTTCCTGCTCAGCTGGAGCCACTGGGGAGGAAATAAATCTCTAATCAAGCAGATTGATCTCTTCTTTGTTAACAGATGAACCTCATCCTGAACCTGCAGCTTCTGCAGCATTTTGTTGTTTTTATTCCTAATGGAGACGACTTGCTTTGGTTTTCCTCTCATTCCTCACTCACAATCCGTTCAGCAGCGCCGATGTTTCTGGAAACCTTCACGTGGATTGGATCCGTGGGAAATAAATTACAAACCATTACAATGTATGTCACACATAAATTGTAATGTATGTGCGACATACATTACAATTTCCAATTGCATTAGTTCAACATTGTCATTATTATGTAATTTGCTTTTCTTTTTTTATATAAATCTTATTGTTTTCTCAGTTTTTTATTTTTTCTATTTTATTTTTTTCATATTCTGTATTTATTGTCACATTTTATTCATTACTTTTTTAATGTTTTCCATATTCTGTATTTAGTTTTTTTAATTACCATATATCTTTTAAATTATATATTGATCTATTTCTCCTCAAATATTTCCTCTTTGCATTTTCTCTCCCCCTGTTTTCTCCTTTGTCTCTTTATGTTTTATTCCATCCATCCATTTTCTTTACACCCTTGTCCCTTAGTGGGATCAGGAGGTGCTGCTGCCTCTCCAGCTAACGTTCCGGGCGAGAGGCGGGTCACCCTGGACAGGTTGCCAGTCTGTCGCAGGGCAACACAGGACAAACAACCATGCACACACACTTTTGGCATGATTAAGCCTCCATACAGCATAAGGGACGCTGCCTCCACGACAGATCTGAAAAGTGACAAATAAACCCAGAACAAGAACATGAATACAAAGAGGCTGTTTTGTTCAATAAAAGGAAAAAATAAAAGAAAAAAATAACAAGACTAATATCTTAAAGTATCATAAAAAATTATAAAATGAAACAGATATAACAGGGGAGATGGAAGAGATCAGTTCTTCTCCAGACAAACAGGAGAGCGTTGCCCTCCTGAAAGATGCACTAAGTGATAAATCTCTTGATAAAATCCATTTTTAGGAATCATAGACTTTGTTGGCTGTAAACTGTACTGAGTCTTAAAAATCCGCCGCTGCTGAGATTCAAACGGAGTGACGCCTCTGAGGAACGTAAATCTGTGATAGGGAGGCTCTGTGTGGGGATTACAAGAGGAGCGCAGCTGCTTCCCTCTTTGTGTGCAGCAGCTGATTGCTAAAAGATACAAAACTGGAAAACTGCGTGTGTGTTGGCCCCGGGGAGCCCAGCAGCGTCAGAGCAAACAATACCCAGCGTCTTCAAAGACATACTGACACTGTTGGCTGGGGACGCTGCTGCGGCACGTAGTGATTTTAATCTTTGAATATGTTTACAATGTTTTCCTATGTAAAAGCCTGTGGCAACAGTGTCCTCAGTCAAAATGTAAAACCCAAATGTATTCCTCTGGTTCCAGGAAACGTAAAAGAATCACAACTTGGTGGATAATTACTGAAGCAGGATTGTTTCCTTGACAGAATGTGTAGATGCTTTTAGGCAGACAAGACAAAAAGATCAGAGTGAGCACTCTTCCTTTATCAGAGAACCTCTGACCTGACAGACAGATCAGCTTTATGCAGCTGCAGAAGAAATTCATTCTGCTAATCCGCTAATACGCTAATAGTACAGCTTCATTAAGCACTTTAGCACCTTTGCTAACTTTAAACATTTCTTGGTAACTTCTAAAGCGTTAATTTACGTGGCTGCTTTGAAAACCTTTAGCTGAATAAATTCAACGTGTGTTGAAGTTTTGTTTACCAGCTGTTCAGTTATTCAGCTAGACGTTCATGCTCTTATTTTGAAGTGGCTGAAGAGGCAGCAGTTCCGTTTCCTCTTCTCACTTTCTCTCTTTCCTCTTCTTAAAAACTTTATTTCAAACAGGAAACATACAGGAACAAAATAAAACATAAATACAATATTTAATGATCTTATAGAATATGTAAATTATGTCAAAATAAAATTAGTTGAAATATTTCAACGACAGTTCTTTAGCATTAGCTTCTGATAAACCTTTAATGTTAGCATAACTAATGTTTATGATTAATGCTGTAGGTTAGCACAACTAACTTTTTAATTACTGTGCATACCCACAGTATGATGCTGCCAGCACCATGTTTCATTTTGGGTATGATGTGTTCAAGGTTAGTTTCCTGTTTCCATGCAGTAGTTAGTGGTAAACTGTCACTGGGACGTCTTAGTTTGTGGCTTTAATGTGACAAACTGGGAATAAATGAATCTGCAAGGCACTGGAATTAAAAATGTTTTTTGTAACCTGGTGGAGCTCTGCAGGTTGGGATAAATCTTTAAAAACTCTTGCAGATGTTTACCTGCATTAATCATTTTCTTTCTCAGTGTCTGATCCAAATGAATGAATAACAGTTTGACTGTTTGTCAGCGTTTTGACTTCCTCTATTCAGCACTAAGTGTATCATGAGCTTAAAGTTGCTCTTTAGAGCTAAGTGTTGATATCTCTGCCTTACAGAGTTTGAGTGGCAGACTTTCTTCAGATTCATATTTTCTACAACCTTGACTCTGTAAAAACTGCAATATTTTGAAAAGCACTAATTTCCTAAATATGATAAATTTGAGATGAAGGCAGCAGCTCTGTTGCAGTGTGCTGTAAATGTTCACAGCTCTTTTTGGTGCATTATTTTTGAAAATATGGTTCCTACAGATAAGTTTTCCCTGTCTGATGCCTTTCTGTGTCCTTCGTGGAGCTTCTCTGACTTAATTACTGCAGATAAAGAAGACATAAGAGGTTCTGAAGTGGCTTAAGCCTGGAGAAGGAGACGGATTTATCTCTCATAAGAAAACAATAAAGGCCTATCTCTCAGCAGCAGCAGACTGCTTCTGGCAGATTTAGGCAATTACAGAGAAAGAGGAAGGCTGCCACTGCTCGTCAGCTCTGAACCATAAATATGTGTTTCTGCACTCGGTGCTTCACACATGGAGGAGGAGAGAAGGGAGTCAAACACAGAGCAGACAGGAGTTCCCCAGAGAGCCTCCCTCGGTTTGTTTCTGGGTTTCCAGGCTCAACTGGAGTGGAAGGATGGAGTCCAGGTGAGCGCTGCGTCTTTTCAGCTCCGACCGAGACGCATCCAGAGAACGAGGAGACGGGCCGGAGCGATGGAGCAATGCTTCACTGCTGTTTTCTCTGCTGGTCCATTAGGCGTGTACGGGAAGCCAACTGGGACAAAACTTTCAAAGTTTCTTCGTCCAGGGAGGGAGAGATTTTTACAGGAAGAGTTAAATTCACAGAGAGAGTTTGTTAACGCGACAAAAGT